CCTCACTTCCCTCCTTGCTCATTTTGTAATACTGCCTCTGTAACTGTTTCAATTGAATCTATAGCCATTAATAAATGTGTGCTCAGTTGAGCATGTTCTTCCTAATAAACTAACCACAGTAGCAACAATGGCTTCTTTTGATGCAAAAGAAGCAACTGAGCTTTCTTTCCTCCTAATCTGTTGTAACCAGTCATTTGAAAATGAAAAGCACCACGGACTTCTGAAATCAGCTGTACACACACATTCTTTATCTAAGACATCTTTTTTTTAACGTAACAGGCACATTTTCACCCTGGAGACAGAATTTTTTTTGCCTTTGCAGGATAGTTTGCTGTCAGACTGTGAGCCTTTCCCCCTCAGAGAAAGCAACATCTACCTGAATAAGCCTGGATTTGAAGCATGAAATATATGTTGGAAATCAGAAATCACTCCTAGAGTAATGGACAGATAAAGATTGCACAAATAGAAAACCTCACTTTGTGCTCCTCAGGGTTCTTCTGGAATATTTCCTGTTATGCTTTACTGGTTTATTTCAGCCACAGGAAATGTAGAACCTGCCCTGCTCAAAAGAAGCTGCAGATCCAAGGGAAGCAAAAAAAATCCCAAAACCTTATTTCCACTTTAACTAATCTGGCAGTTCAGCTTTCTAGTCCCAAAGGGATCATTAACAGGACAGTTATATAAAATTAAAGAAATGCCTTATACCACATAAGCTAATCATCTAAGCTCCTTTAATAGACAAAGGAAAGAGCCACTATTGCTGGCTGTAACTCCTCTCATTCTAAATTTCAAAAAACTCAGAGGGATCAGGCTGGTGAAGTCACTAAATATTCCACTGATTTCAGTGGGAATCAAAATAGTACCTCAGACATCAGTACTGACAGCAAGATAAGGTTAATGCCATCCAGAGGTTAAATGCAGATATGAAAACATACTAGGTTACCAAAAACCCTGTTCCCCTCAAGATTAATGTTTATGTGATTTAATAAATGTGAAGTAAATTTTGTGGCCAAGGAAAGTAACTCAAGTATCCCAATTCTTTGCCTATCTTGCAGGCCATTATATTAGACTTTTCATGGCCCCATTGACTTCAATGGAAGCATTCAGCAGTGTCCACACAGATGAGGTCCTCGGAGTGAAACAGAATGTTGCAAATCTGAAAGGAAGTGATGGTAATTCCTCTGTAGAGCTTCTGACTCATCAGTAGGTCATGGCTTAGTTTTACAGCAACTATCTCATGTAAGGCAGGAAAACCACCTTTCTTATATAATCCCAGATGTAGAAATAAAGATATGCACACTTGCAAAATATTAGACTGTACAGCTGGTGTTCACATAAGTGAATCCCCAAGTCCATTAAAATTATGAATGAGAGCAGCACTAAGGATAAAAGCAGTAAAATACACAAGCATGGTCCAAGTTTAGGTGATGTGACCAGGCCAGAGTAGAATGAAACCACAAACTCTACACAAAAGAAATCCCAGTAATCCCTGACAATCTTACTAAGGAGAACATTTTTTTTTTTTTTTTTCCTGGCCCCTAAACTGGATGACTTATATAACCTTAAGTGTTTAAACACAACACACATGAGAATCTGTGCAGTACCATTAAATGCAGGCTGCCAAACACCCCATCACTGACTGCAACCAGTCCTTGATGGAGCAGGGCAAAACACACCAAAAGTTCCAAAGACCAAGTTAAAAAACTAAGTTAGCATCACCATTTCACATCCTTCACTACATTTTGCTTTGGCTGTTTTGTGATACAAATGTTGTTATGAAAGCAAAAATAATCTTTACTCTCCAACAACCAATCAAGCATCTGATAAATTTAAAACCAACTTTCAATTCATCATCCTTAGGAGACTTAGTCTGCATTTTAAAATTTCTTCCCATACATACTATATTTTCTTCTGAAGTGAATGAATGTTTCCTGAACAGACACTATAATCAAAGTAAACCTTGTAACAATAAGGCACAAATGATGTGTCTTAGTTTAATTTTTAAAGCAGATAAAAATTTACTAAAAAAAATACATATTATAAACCATAAATTCAAAAATCATATAGATGTACAATGTCTGTGAATGGCTTAAATACACATGCACATCATTGTGCAATTCTGGCAGGAAATATGCCTTGTTCTAAATGGAAGTTGAAACAGGTCAAGGATGCATTCAGATATCAGAATCAGAAACTGATCTGTATGTTTCATAACACTAACAAGGAAACTCTGAGTTACCTTCCGTTAGGGATTTCCCTTCCTACCTTCAATAATTACACCAGAATAATCCCCCTACAGCACATCCCCAAAGGACTTCAGCAGTACTTTTATTATACATTAGGACACGATTAGTAACAACAATACTTTCTTTATTTTGCTTGTTTCTACTCCAGGCTACTTCCAACCCAGAATTAGAATAATTGTTTGTGTTTGGGGAGTGCAAAGCAAGTGCTCCAGTAGCTATGGTAAAGTGAGATTCAAAAGTGATTCACATTTGACACTGCATTTTTCCACTGAAAACTCTGACAATGTAAGTGGAAGGAATATCCATAAAGAGGCTTAAAACAAATCTGCAGTCCTTCTGGATTACGAAGTGCTTCTAGAGCATGCAACAGCTTTGTTGTATACACCCATGTACTAATAATCTCTGTTCAAAAGGAACACTGTGCCTTTGACAGAAATTAGATAACCTGCAAAACTCCATGTAGTTAGTGATATTCAGGGGAGAAAAGGACAGTGAGAAGAAACAGCAACTGCAAATCCCTGAATGTCTTGTTGCATCAGCTGTGCCAGAAACATTCAGTGCCTACACAAATTGAGGAGCAGGGCCCCCAAAACTTTTGTCTCACAACCAGCACAGAAGAACCAAGAGACCTGATAGGGCTGAGCCACCCTTCACATCAGCTTTGAAAAGTCAACACACAAAAATGCATCTTATGATGGAAGTAATCAAAATGTGACCGTAGGTGTGCTACATTCTACTATCACCTTTGAGTGGCTTGTTTCATCTCCCTTCTGTATGATTAAATTCTAATTAACAAAAACACATCACATGGAAATTTTTCTACTTATATGCACATACATGTAAGCATAATAACAGAAGTTTTAGCATGAATATGTTAGAAGTTCCTACTTATCTGGAACAAAAGCTTAATTCATCTTTGGTCATGGATAATGTCTAGGACCAGCCCAACTTTGCAGAAAATTCTTGGATCATGTGGTGATTAAAATCCTTTACAGAATTCCATTTTTTTTCCCGCTATGGATTTCTCCTCTTAGATCTGTAAAGAGGCAATGCTGGAACTTCGGCTTTTCAGTGTGGCACTCCAGAATTTGACTAGAGACTACTAAAGTACCTAGAATATACCAGCAGTGATGAATTTTTAAAATTCCAGTATTTGTCAAAACCATAGTTTTATTTAATTTTTCAGTTTTCTCTTCCACACAAGTTTCCTCCTGTTTTCTCTTTCAGTCTATGTTTTCACATCTTTCTACATTTAGCACTGTGGGGAAAAAGAATGTTTTAAATTTTTTAAAATATAAATATTCCTAAATTTTTGATTTTCATTTTAAAGAATTTAAAGTATGAAAATTTGAAGCCAGTTCACTTTTTTGACAGCTGAAAGATCTAAACACACTATTTTTTCATGCCTCTCTTCTATCGTGTTATCCATTGATACCCACTTTATTCAGATTCAGGGCTGAGTGTTCCCCTCAGTCCAGTATGAAGAGATTTTCAATTGTTTAGCTAAAGTAGGTACCAACAACAGGTTAAGATGGATGAGAAATGCATCAGAGGAGGTGCCATCTTCAACTCTCACATTCATGGCAGGCAATGCCATGCCTCTTATACATTAAGCCAAAGCCCTCTTTACAAGTGAACGTTTGTTTAATATTGCACGTTTCTGAGAAGCATTCTGTACTACAAGAACATATACGAAAGGCTGGTTACTGATCCTTGGTCTCCATGTAGAGCAACATAAAGTAAAACATCCTCACTTGTTGGTCTTAGTCAGAATATTGATGTGGATGAAAACTGCTATTGATTTCCACATGAACAAGACCTGAAGCATCTAACAGAGTACTTCTCACAGAAGCCTCGCACTGGGAGGAAGAAGAAACCAGAATACTTCAGATAAATCATGACAATAAACGTCCAGAGGCACTAGCTGAAATTATACTAACCTGGAAAGTACATAGCCAATGTCTCTCTGGACTCGGGTGTCTTTTACATCATAATGCACTTTATGACTTTATATAGGAAATCGAAGAGTGCACAGGAGAAGGGAGGGTCAGACATTACACATTAAGTAATATACATAGCTGATCAATAAACCAATTCCAGGAACATCCTTTGTTAACCTGGCACATTCCACATGTAGAAACATGCCATGGCATGGTACTTGCACTTGCTGCACAGCCCCCAGTGCAAGTTTCCCTGGCCAGGTGTCATCTCCTGCCCTTTTCAGGAGAATCCCTGACCCATGGCAGCAAACACAGAGACTGTGCTTTTGGGGTGCTGAGTCAGACAAGCAGCAGTCTATCCTGGAGTAAACACAGCACATGAATATCAAGCTCCACATACAGGTTCTGGCCTGAAGATCAGCTTGAATTCTTATTTGGGATTTCAGCGTTAGGTCCATGTCAAAGACTTCACAGGTTGACTCAAACAGTGAGAGTCACTCTGCTACTTTCTAGTGTTACTTTCCTATTGCATCTTTGTGAGTGTGAAGCAGATGAGAAGTGTTCCATGTACTCAAGTCTTGCCTATCCAGAACAATCTGGACCCTTTTTTTTTCTTTCAAACCAGGCTGGAATAATCCAATATGGAGCATGTGAATAAGCCAGTTACACTGAAGTCTCATCTTCACAATGATGAACATAGATAGTAAAACTAGAAAGAAAAATTAAGCTAGAGCCATAAGAAATATGATCAGACCTATGCCCTGAGCATAAATTTGGAACTGCAATCTTCAGTATTAGAGTTATATTAACTGACCTGTGAGTTTTTCCAGAACATCAAATCCATGTTTCAGAGCAATGATATCAAGAAAAGAGACTGTACCATCTTCAAACCTAGAGAATGGAATAAAGGAGCACAGTAAATACAACATGCAGCTATGGCACCAATTTTAAATCTATTTTAAGAGTTACTATTTTCATATTCAGCGTATCTAACATGTGGAGTGGGAACTAAGGGATTCATCTCCCAGTCTTGTAGTGTCCTGTGAAGCAAAATTATGTTCTTCAAAGCAATAGAGGTTCACATAAACAGTTGCTTGCACATAGAGAGGTATTTTTTCCTACATACAGTAACTATGTACTAACCTACATCAAAGTAATGGTTAACAGTTACGTGTCATGAGCTAATGTCACAAGGTCCCAAGTTACCTTTTGAATCTAGGGAATAGGTGAGAAGACAGGTGGAGACTTGTGTGCATCCCCCCCACCCCCTGATATAATTACACCTAATACAGTTGAGTTAGAAGGCTCCAGCAATCTGGTGCAAAGAGGAATCAGACAAGGAGGTCACTAACAAATCTCCCTCTGTGTGCTTCTCCTGGAAATTAATTTTTAAGTGACCTGTAATAAGAGCATTATACAAGGATGGAGAGAGGGGTGCATTCCCTAGCACTGTCTTTTAAAGGAAACACCAAATCGAAGCAAAACCACTGGATTTTATGAACTACTCAGACATGCCCACAGTCCAAGAGGAAAAAGTGAAGCTCCAAGGTGAAATGTATTCAGGACTTGATGCAGCAAAGTATTCAAGGGACCAGAAGGACACCAGGGAAGCATCAAAATGTTTCATTTAGGCTTTGTGTGCACCAAAGTCTACAAGAAATTTTAAGGAGAAATCATTCATTTTGCTTCACTCCAAAGAAGAATGCAGAATAATGCAACTGATGAAGCCAGAACTGTACAGAACCAAATACATTGCAGGGCTGAACCTGGGGTCATAGCAAGTCTCTCAGGAAGGAGTTATGCTCAAAATTGTAACAGTTAATGCTAGAAATGAACCCACCCCAAGTCTCATGGTTCAAGTTTAAAATTAAAGTCCAGTCATGAGGATGAGATCTCCAGAGGGACTTGGTGTTCCTTGGAACTTTCTCAGAAAGATCAGATGATATCTGCATTAAAGAATTAATGGACAAAGTGGAACATAAAACATACACTCTTGGGCAAAAATACTTTAAATACATGCTTTAGACCAGAAAAAAGGGGATTATTATTTTTTTTCCTGGATGCATAATTTTTCACAATGCATGTTAAAAGCTTTTGGTGCCACGATTTTGTATGTCTTGTCAAAAGGCTCAAAGTTTAAAAATGCCAGATATCAAATGCTTTTTCTTTAATAAAATAAACATCAATGGAATAACAAAACAGCTCCCACTTCTATTATAATTTTTCTTACATCCTATTTTACTTTTCTATAGTTATCAAATATTTTCAACACTGCAAGTGACATCATCAGGTGAAGAACATATTAACCTTCCAAAAATCTTTGGTAAAGGGCCACATAAAAGAAAAATGAAAGAGTATTGTGTATATATAATAATACCTTCAGCTGCAGTGAAAGAAGATAGAGGCAGGAAATAATTATAATAATTATAAACTAAATGCTAAGTGAAAAGTAGTGTTACAAGAATGAATGGCCCAAAGGAGATCACTTCTGTTTATGTATTTTAACATAACATAGGCCAAAGAATCCATCTTAGAAATTTCTGAATCTTCCCCTCTAATTATTAATAATTGATCTTCAACTTTAGAGAAGAAATCTTTCTGGTTGTCAGTAATGAAATGTAAAATGGCCATTTGTGATTTGAAAGAGACCTAACACCAGGAATATTTACACAGAGACCTGTGGACCAATATCTGAGGGAATCATTACTCTATCCAAAAAGCCATAAAAAAATGTGGAAGGATGAGAGAGAAAAGATAAGGTAGCGGCTAACAGTTGTTTCAGAATTGAATACAGAAACCTTTTGCACAGGTTGCAGAAAAAGTCACAGCAGTCCTACATGTCTGCCAAGGAGAGATTACAGAGAGGACTCGTGAGGGGGAACTGACCTGCTCTGCTCAGTTACCCACAATGGCCAGCAAAGCAAACAAAACACTGGGAACGGGACCAGGGAAGAGACACTGGCACTGAGCCCTTCAAGGAGACAGCACAATCCCCAACAATTTTATCACTAGCATAGTGATAAAATTGGAGAAAAGAACTTGAAAGGGCAACAAAGGGCAACAAGATCATCAATGACTTCTGAGATGCACCCACAGTAGAAGGGGGGCAGCAACTGTATTTCTGTTTATCAGATATGATAATTAACTAGGCAGACAACTGCAGTACATACAATGCTACACAAGAGGAGAGATGTACGGAGCATGTCACTCTTCTAGTAAGATCTTAAATAATTTTATAACAGTACTTCAGAGCTTAGGAATCTTCACCAAAAAAAAAAAAAAAAAACCAAAAAACCAAAAACACCCCCCAAGCAAGTAAATAGGCTTTTTTGTCTTGTCAAACCTTATGCTCCAGAACAGCACAATTGTCATGGCATGATATGCATCCAGCATTAATCTTCCTGTATCACAAAAAAAAAATACCTCCTGGGAGTTCCATGGCAAGAACCAGAAGCCACAAAAGAAATTAAAATAATGCCGAAAGTATCATCTCAAAGATATGGTCAAGTCTCTCTCTCTACAACTTAGACATGCAACATTCCTCTCTTTTATTTTGTTTGTTCATATGACCCCCTCATTACCAGCTTTCCAGTTCTGATTACAAAGCACAAATATTTTGTTATTTCAATAATATGTATATTTACATTACTTCTGGTGTGCTTGACTCTCACAGATTTAGTGGACACCTGGTGTGCAACTTCATGTCAAAATTTTCAGGAATAATGTATAAATTCTGATATTTAGCACATTAAGCCTTAAGCGCTGTAGCAGTAGTGCCATGGCAAAACGTGATGCTACGAAGAGCAGCTATTCCCTTTTTGAGACACAAAGAATATTTATTTATATTCTTTCCCTCAGAATATTTAACATTATTTAAGACTGAGAGGAAACATGCTCCTTGAATTACAAAACATTGGCTTCAGTGGCGATTCTTCTGTTTGGTGCAATTGATGCTTCAAATAAATTGTTTCCCCACACAGTGGCAGTTGCAGTGTTAGAATAATCAGTTCAGGATGAAGTTCATTTGAATGCTGGTCTAGAAGCTACTTCCTGAAGTAATCAAGATTTTGCAGCTGATGATGTATAAAGGATACTTACAAAGGCTAATACTGCAGAATATCAACCCAAGAAACAAGAAGCTTACCTCTCTTATCTAGTTCTTATTATAATTGATCTCACTTAATCACGTCTGGGATGAGCTCAGTTGCTTAGCTGATTGTGTTTGTGAAGTGCTAATAGCATTTCACATCCAATTGCTATCTGACAAACTGGCTAAGCAACTCATGGCACAACAAAGAGAGCAGCGTGCCTAAAATCTATCCAGGAGTTATGGAGGTGATGAGCTGCTCTCCCTTCCCAAGTCACACACAAACTCTATTTTAGAAGCAAAAATTTTGGAGTCACAAGAGAAAACTACTGCTTTACAGTGAGTAGTCCTGCCTTTAGAATCTTCCTAGGGATGGAGATGTCTTTCTTTGAATCTTTATTCAACTGGTTCTTATGATACTTCTCTGTTACACTTCAGAATATAAATGCTATCTTCTAAAGTCACCATCCCACACTTAGGGCAACTGAAACAGAAGGAAACTGTGACATCTTGGGCAGTTTCAATTCATCCTTCCCTTAGCCAGGTTACCTTTACACAGAAATATGATGAAATAAGAATTCTGGCCTGGACAGATGTGATTGGAAATAAAGTGCTGAAGGGCTAAAAAAACCCCTTCATGTTTGAAAATAGGATGTAGAGGAAATTTGGTGAAAGGCAAAAATATTATCCTGGAGCTGGACAGCACTGACTTAAGTCAAGACTCCAGAAATTCCCTCAAGACCAATCAACGAGTGCTGAGGTGGTGAAATACCCTATTCTACATGTAAAAAGTATACATGGCATGTTTTTTAGGTGTTTCGGGTGGAAGTATCTGCTGCTGGATTGGAAATGCTGACTTGCTTAACAGGCAGATGAGTGATTGAGTTGGTTGAGCTTTTTTTTTTTTGGTTTTGGGTTTTTTTCAATTCATTTGTCCAGATAAAGTAAATCCATATATACAGATGTTATTCTGGTGCATAAAATCACAGACTCATAGAATATGAATGTTAGAATTCCATGTTAGAAGGAACCTCAAGAACCATCTGGTTCAACTTTTCTTGGCAAAAGCATGTTCTAGACAAGACGGCACAACATCTTGTGCAGCTAAATTTTAAACATGTGCAATGTTGGGGAACTTCCGCCACTTCCCTGAGGAGATTATTCCATTGGCTGACTGCTTTCTTTGGGAATGTCCAGTCAGAATCTTCTCAGGAGTAACTTGTACCCATTACCCCCCATATTTCCCATGTGACTTCTTGGCAAAAAGGGAGTTTCCATCTTTGCAGCTACCCTTTAAATACTGGAATATGGTGAAAAAGATTCCTGACTAAAATCTAAACCATTTGTCTAGTCTAAAAACCTAAAGTCTACACCATTTACCAGCCATCTTCAGCATGCTCAGCAGGATCCCAAACTCCACAACACTGTAATCACTGCAGACAAAGTCACTGCTAACCAAGACATAAATGAAAGCAATTTTTCTTGGTTTGCGTGTAGCAAATCCTTCAGTGCCTCTTTCCCGGCTCACACAGCTAACTTATGTATAAGGAAGTGGTTCTCCACACATTGCCAAAACTTGATAGATGATATTTTAGCTATTGTTTGTTCTTCCAATAAATGTTTAGGTGGTTGAAGCCATCCATAAGAACACAGTTCTTGGTGATCTGAAGCTTGCCTAGGTGACACAAATATTGCTTTTGCAGACCTTACTGTCTTGGTTTGGAGGTCAGTAGCAGATGCCTCCTGTAAGATCCTCCTTGGAGAGGACTTCTGTGATCTTGAGCCAGAGGCATTAGATAAGGCT